ATTTCTTCTTTTTGGCTTGTTTTGAACTTTATATGTTACACATGATCTTGTAATTAGATTGGTTAACTTCGCCAATCCTTGAAATTTAATTGGACTGATTTCTTGTGTTGCCTCCGCTTTAGACGACCCCGTTCAAAGTTGCTAGCAACAGAATTGTTTGCTTAAGAGTGGGTTTTTTAGCCGGGATCAAGCTAAGATTAGTCACTCGATAGAGGGAAAAACGAACGATAGGGCATTATAAAATCGCGAATAACCAGTAATGACTGGGTTGGCTGAGTAGAATAATCAATTGACTAATCAAGAAGTCAAGAATGCTAAATAAAGCATATCAATATGTGTGTTTTTAATTAGGGTTCAATGTTTTTGACTGCGGCTAAAGTTTTGTTTTTGCGAACATTTAGTTCATCTGGTGATTGAGCACTCTCCTTTCAAACATACACGTATATCCGAGAGTATGCGAAGTTTATTAACACAATTACAATGCGAAGATCTTCCCATGATCATGAATTTATTGCTTGTATGTTTAATTATTATTATTGATTTTTCTTTTCTTTATGTTCTTCTCCCTCCGCCGTCTCACCATTACTTCGTACACGAATCTTTCTTATTATCTGAGCTAATTCATCCGTTTTGATGAGTGAAAAAAGACTCATTCCTAACATAGCTAAAGCTCTTCCTTCTTTTTTATCAAATTGAAATATCCCATGTCCCTCGCCACTTGTGCCCCAAGTATAAATCGAGGAGACAACAAAGCTTGCTTTCATAATGTAGCTTGGCTCAACAAGCACTTGCGGGGTACTCTTAAACCCCCATTCCGGAGTAGCGATTTGGAAGGTAGAAACCCATAAACCGCCAGCGCAACCAGACAAAGTGCCACATACAACCATTGCTATCCAGCTTTCATTCAATGGGTAGCGCTCATCTGCGCGTATTTTCTCAACGGATGAGCAGATGGAGTTGGCTTTGTGAAGAATGTGTGCTAAATCAAGTATCGGGTTTAGGATGTAATCAGGAATACTATGTAATAACCCCCGTACTTGCGGCAAATGAAAGTATGCGATATGCACCGCTCTATTAAGTTACTTGTTAATAACATTTTAGATGAGGTAAAAGTTAGTATCTGTGAAACGATTTATATACGCACACATAAGTCGGGATAATGCTGTTCGAAACGAGCCAGCTGGGTGGTTGACCTAACAGTAGAGCTAATCAAGACAACTCAAATTAGATCTCGTTGTTTAGACTAAACTCGAATTATCATCAAGATATTTACTCACAATTCGTGGTACTTCCGCCTAGGGCTATTATAAGCATTCCAACTATTCCTTGGAACCAGCTAATTTGCGCTCCTTTCAGAGACCTGTGATAAGTGACTGTTAGGTGAAGAGCGCGCATAAAAGATAGAACGGGAATTGGGAGTAATTCCTCATGAAAAACTATGTTTGGTATTGAAACCATAAAATCTACGAAACTGTCGGCCAGCAGCATTGGAATAAATCAAAGTGAAGAGATGGCCTGCGCTTTGCTGGCTTTTATTTAAATAGATCAACGTAGTTAATATCTAATCTTATCGAATCTACTGGATAGTCGTACGATCAACATCTATAACGTAATTTATACTTATTGAGATACTTTGCCATCTATTATTCGTCTTGTTTTGGACTCTTTGTAACATTTTTATCCTCAATTAAATAATTCTTACAAACACAAGCAGTGAGTGGTCATGGTGGATGAGATAATTTATCATCTTTAACTGGGTGACTTGTCACGAACGATTTTCGTTGTTAGTTGTTTGCTATTGTAACAAACGACATTATTCTCAGCGAACAGATTCGAGTTCACAGAGTATTTGCTATTGATTCTTCAACCGGCACGATGTGATTTTATTTCATAACTATCTTTGGTAACTTTTGAGGGCCCCCTGTTTCTTGTTATAGTAATAACTACGGTGCCCCACAACATTATGGGACCCGATATCTTGTTGTGGTTCAAGTTTTCGTACAGTTATTATTGTCCTGTGCAACTGATTGGTGAATTGTATTAGTTTGTTAACTGTAAATCGGCACGACGACAAACCATTGGCATTATACGTCTACAATATCTAAAAGGATGGCATTGCGTTAGTGTTAATAGGAAAGACAACATCATTAACTATTTTATAAGAATCCCTCTCCACCATGCGAATATTATAGCGAATTACATGCATGTAATGCTATCCTGCAAACAATTGTTTCACTTTCAAAGCAGTCCATTGTGTATGCTAGCCATCAGAACGTGATCTGAAACGTAACTTTTCCTTGTTTTATTCTTCCTACGATAAAGGCATGGGAAGTTTCTCAAACTATATGTGGATTTTATGAAAAATGTACATAATAATCTGTGTATTATTAAGTAAACATATAAAGAGCAAGATACGCGATTGTTCTGTAGTTATACGAAAAAGGATTCCAATGGATAGGGACGCGAAAACAATGAAATACAGAGAAGACCATCCCAACAATATCTTAAACTACCGTGTTCCCAATGATAATTAATGCGCAGAAATTTGCATATCATCCGCGGCGTATGATTGAACAAACGGATATTTTATTACGGGTTAACTTACTTCACAAATCTGTCAAATTCCATGGATAACACTAGAAACCATGCTTGCGTTTATAAGCGAATTCTTTTTTGACCTCATTCTCGACCTATTGCGGCATAATTTGCAATGGGTCAGCTTAATAATACGGGAGCCGGAACCGTCAGCGGCGAACAAAATCTACCCGCCAGACCTTGAAACATTGTAGAACGATTATACAATAAAAGAACTGAATAATAATAGGATCCAGAATTTTATTTAGCAAAATGGCGCTTGAAATTAATAATTTTCTTGGCTATTGCTGCGTCTACAATAAGGAATTTATCTTCCGTCGAAAAAATTTATTATGACAATTCCCCAATGTTGGATTGATGAAGAAAAAAAGAAAAGTGTAAATAAAGACAAAAACATTAATAACATTGGATAACTATCGTATTAACAATAGTAATAATATAAAATTTAAATCTGCACCAGAGTGACCAAAGAATAGGTTATACTCATCAATGGCCTTGGGTCCGAGTATGTTCTTCCCATGATATTTCAAAGCGATCAATCGCATTCTATAACGAAGATATTAAGATTGTGCTTACAAAAATTGAATTATTTTTGGTACAATTGTCCCAAAGTAGCGAAATGCGAACCAAGACTCACCACTGTAGCGGTGACATTTCATTTATTTCACAGATTTGCCAGGTAAATAAATGTAAGCTTTCGATATAAAAATTGAAAACTGCGTTGCTATTCACATCACGTGTGTGTATTTAATGCGAAAACATTGAAACAATTAAAACTAAAGGAAAAATAATAAACATAAAGTTTTTTTGTTGAAGCTGTCGAAGTTTACGGCACGGTGGGACGTGGAACGAAGCATCACGGGTCCGGCTACGGAAATTCATTCTCCTGTTGATAATCATCATTAGAATCATTTCCTGATCTTTAATTGTTGAATTCAGAATGAATTTCTACTTTCTCCAGCTTTTCTATCTTGCTTAAGATTTCCTCAATTATTTGGGAAGCTTTTTCTATCCCCGTGAGTTGGCCTCCATATTTCGTCGAGGTTGATACATCCTTATCGCATTAACCGGATGTGAATAAGGATAATATCATACATCGACGATTCAGTAGACATCAGAAGTCGGCTGCCAATATATGCCTACGTGTATCATCTAGAGGTGAAGCATCAAGTACCCCTCTCAATTGTTGGACAAGGTCAGCGTCTATTAATTACTCTCGATTTGAATTCTTAAGATCTTGATTTCAGTCCGTCACATCTTTGTGCCAATTCCACTAACTCCTTGCATATTGTCGAAGTTCTTCGAACTCGTTCAAGATCTTTGATTGTCCTCTTAAACTGTATAATAATAATGATATATTTTAATTTTATAACCGAAAAGCGATAAAGAAATAAACACTTAATTATCAATTAAATCTTACATTGAATGACATAATATACACCATTATAGTGAAATGTTATGTCAATCCCTCCATCATTATGGTCAAAACCAATTGAAGAACATTCACAGCAGGCCGTCCAGGACTGGGTACCTGACTGGCGACTTTCGCAAGCTATGGCCATGATACGCAACTGGTCAGTGTATCCTATTCATTACACCGGATAATTGCCTTCGGTTTCGTCGGCAACGAAGAACGATCACATGAATTTCTCTGTCCGGCACATGATCTCGACTAATGAATGTGATGGCGTTTTAAAATTGACGATACAAGTTCCTTCGAATTTTCGCTCCGGTTCCCGTTTCCTAGTAAAGTACTTTTAAAATGTATTCTATTCACCACACCGACAATTACCTTTGGTTTTGTCATGTCGTAACGAAGCCTCGATATATTTACACTTAATGTGCTTTCGAAAACTCCGATTTACATCGTACCTTCAGATACATACTGTATACTAAACAATTACCCTGATGATCTTCAAGTTGTGACTTTCAATTCTCCGACAGTTTTCGGATACACTATTGACCATTCAACCAATACTCAGTGAAAGAATCCTCACCTTACATAGGGGATGAAACCGTCGGTCTGCGTATCTCTTCTCATTAAACACAATGATAAAATCATATAATAAAAGTCAGGTCACATTGCCTTATATTTAACGAATTGAGAGAGCGATATGGACAAGAGAAGGGTGAGAAGTTCGATTTGTTTATATGAACATTTCGAATGAACATTAGATGCTGGAATCCCCGTGACCGATTTTCCGTTACATAACGTTGTGGGTATCATGGCTCGTATGTCAAAAATTACGTCATAGTCACACAATTGCTCTTACGGTTGTATGCGTATTTCCACCCACCCACTACTTTTGTAGCTTGGAATACGAAATGACAGTGGGATAAAAGTAAAAAGGTAAGGGGAAAATTCGACGTTGTCTCTATATCTAGTATAGTTTTTTTTGTAGATATCAGACTATGTTGTAAAAGATATTGCCAATTCAAAAAAACTCATTAAAATATTTTTTAAAAACCGGAAAATCTCGAAGCAAAACCTGACTTATTTCCTCTTGAATTATTTCAGCGTCAAAGGATTTCAACGAATCTGCTAAGATTAATGAGAGTTATCATATTATCATGAAAAGCGTATTCAAGAGTTGTTATTCAATTGTTACACGATTAAACTAATCGATTACTACAAACCATTGCTTTAGTACATATTGCCTGTACAGCAATAGCGATATTGCCGCCCCTTTCGATCTGGCAAAAAGCGACGATCAGACTCTGTGTTCTATAAATAAACTTATAATCGTTCAGGGGTTCATCGTTATTATTATATAACTAGTTATGTAACAAACACTGGGTATGTATGGATCATCGTTTAACAGCATTTCTTGTTTATTTTAGTATGGTTGCGGAAAATGTATTACGCAATGAATTAACCATATTAGCTAGAACAAAGCAATTGGTCGATCATATGCTGTAGAACTACTGAACTATTCTTGAAATGCATTTTTGTTGTTGTTGTTATTATAAGATACCAGGTATAATCCCATTCAATTACTTGCTTTCTACGGTATAATTAAAAATTGCAAATAAACAGAAAGGAGAACCAATACCCTTTGCTCTATTTTTTTGTTTGAGGCCAAGTGAGATTTATTACACAAAACGAATTATAAAGAAAACCATCCCAGACCAAAGCGAGGCATACAAAACCCAACATAAAAACCCAAATGCGTTGGTTTGTGCACTATTTTTGAACTTAATCACATATATTACCATGCCACTAGGTGCCAGAGAAAATTCTAAACATCGTAAATAATCCATAAAGAATGCATGTATCGAGTTACCAAAACCTTACAAGTATTGGTTAATACTGTAATGAGTCATCAAAGAAAAAAGATGAGATAAAGTGTAACTGTTTACCTAGACTCCGGTTAAGCTTCGAATAAATAATAACAGTAATAATTACGTATGTTTTTCCCATGGCATTTGTCCGCAATTAGCAATGTCTCCTTGTTACTATAAATATATATGGTTTTATTGTAACGTTTGCGCCGTTAGCTTTTATAATAAGTTTCAGCATACACTTGTTGATTTTTTTTTGTATTATTACACTCTTACGAACAATTCATTTATGAATTCTCGGCAAACTTGCGCAAAATATATTTACTTAGCTGCAAACAGACATGATTAAAACAGTTTTCTATGTAAAATATTACAGCATAGCTTCTCTTACGGCTGAACGAGCCGTTCTGCGTCGCATCGCTGACTCTGATCAAGTTTTGGCTCGCTAAACTTATTTATAGTCTTTTATATTAAAAAATATACAATTAATATCTCAATATCTTGTGTTTAATGGAACAATCTGTTATTGACTTGTATTATTGTTGGTTTAAATACAAGTAACAACAAATACAAACATAGAGTTTTATAGGCAAAACTGTCCAACGGCTAGGAAGACGTTTGAAGTGATTCTAAATATATCTGTTATTACACAAAATACTGTTACGCAATGCACGTACCACATAAAATTTGGTATGCATGCCATGACAGAATTACATTGTTGCGATATTCACTCAAAAACTTGAGCATATATTTATTCTGTTGTTTTTACATTTATATTTACTATGTACATTATAAACTGACCTGTCATACAATATAGATTAAAATGCTTTAGAAGTTTGATTAATAAATGAAATGTAAATAAAATTATAAGAACTGTGTAAGAACGAAAATATCGTCATAGATCCATGTCTTTGCATAATAGTATACGACAAAAATGCAGAAACTTCTAAAAGTCATATAATTGTTTGGGTGTCTCTAAGTTGAAGGAAATTCATACTACGTATTAAGCCGTTAATAATAGATGTAGCCATCATGTTTGGCTTTCATAAAGTCTTATTAATTTGCTCTCAGAGCGTCGCAAAACCAGACCGCCATTACTTTTGTCGGTGACTGTGCGTGTACGGGCCAACATGACCTCAATTACGGTCTCTGGGCCTCCGCTTTCGTGATCTGCCAAAATCATCCACCGCGTTGTTTGTTCGTTTTAACTTTTGACGCCATGGAGAATCTTTCTGTTTAAAACAAGAGACAACATCGCATCAGTCAGAATTTATTGAACCAAAGTATGCGGGCCAACAGTGTTAAAAATATCGTGTCATAAACGTACTGTTGAGGTATCCTGGTCGGCCAAGTGGGTCCATTTGGTCTGACCTGCTCGACCAAAATTCTTCACTTGCATAATTTTTGGTAACAACTCCTTATGAGCTATTATCCGGGGGGGGAATGTCGATCATATCAATATGAATCATATTAATGTAGCAGAATATTATCCGATGACAATAGTTACCAGCTTCATCCGGCGTAGCCTCGGTATAATCTCGTTTGAATAAATCATCCTCCGAATCCTAACATGTCCCATTACGCGTGAGTGACACTAATAATTTTCTCCACAGTGTGATTCAATAAACACGACTTTATTCAACAAAAAGCTTACCAAATAGAATGCACCCTTATGATAGTACTTTTGCAGAAATCTGTATTTCCCTTTTGACTTTTCCTCACGTGACTTCCTCGCCCTTTCTAGATCTTCTTTAAATCGCATCTCTTCACTCATCTGTCGCCTACGTTCTATCTCTTCTCTCTCTTTTTCCCGCCTTTTGAAATCAAAACGGGGGTCGTCATTAAAAATCTCTGTATCATTGTAAACAAGGTTATAATAATAATGGTACGTACGCCTCTCGCTCTTCTCTATCTCGCTTGACACGTTTTAATTCCCGGAGTTTCCACGCTTCGTATTCGGCTTGCTCATCAAGTCCATCCGTATCGTCCACTTCCACC